CTGCGCGCTCAGCAGAGGTGATTATAACATTTAATCACTGAGCCCTATCGCTGAGCTTTGCAGGCTTCTCGCCCGGAGGTTTTGATTTACCCGCCCTCTTCCTGAGGAAAAATCTCATTCACTAGACGGATTGCTGAGCGGGTCTCTCCGACCAGCCCCTATAAATCATTCTTTAATCAGAGGCCTCTGAGATTGGGGCGCAGACACCCGCAGGAGCACCGCTGTGACACCTCAACTCCTCCCCATGCGTCTCTGCCATCCTGGGAGTTTTTATCCTCTTCTGCTTCCACCTTGGGCTTGTCTGCATTTGTATCAGTCATCAGGAAACTAAGAGGGATGACCACACACACCAACACCCCCAACACTTCCTCTGCTAAGGGGGGGAAGAGGGATGCCAAAAAGGAGAAGGGACAAGATTACTAGTTTTGTGAGAGTGTAGAAGTACACAGGGCAAAGTGGGGAACGACTGCTGCAATTCCTAGAAGCTCTGAACTCGCAGTGTGTCCGCTAGTTTGGGGTCATTTAAGTAAAAATTGAATTGAGACTAAAGCTCAAAATCAGCTGATAAACTCAGGACCCTTATGGTGAAAAGACTGTGCAGCACACAGTGATTCAACAAGTACGAGTCCCTTTAGAAGATGTTTGAAGCTACTGTTTGCTGCATATGATCTCTGGTTAGGAGGAACTGCTCCTGCTGCTGCTATTGTTGCTGTTCTATTGGTGTCTTTGAATCATGAGGCTCCGTGCTTTCTAAAGATGTATAATCAGGGCCAAGGCCACTGAAAATACGAAAGCAGGATTGTCGCTCTGCTCATATTCAGGCTAATGTAATGTGAAAAGGTTATACACAACCTTTGCGTCAAACTGCCAAGACCTTCAAATGTGAAAATAATGACAAGACCTTCATTATTTCATTAGTTAATGTGCTTATATGTTCAATCAAATGAATGCATTAAACTGCCACACAGCAGACCTCAGGTCAGGCAATTTATCAGCCCAGATGAATTATACAAATGTGAACAAAGAGGGATTTTTGTTTTGTGCTCCACCGAGCAGAGTTTAACCAGCTAAACTTTCTGGCAGTTCTTTTGATATTCTGAAAGTACCCAATCACTCAGAGTGGAGGAGGGCTGACAACACTGAGCTGTTGGTTTTTTCATTATATCAGCATACTCAGAAATTAGATTTTTCTGAAACAAAACCTTCTTTGGAGGAGAATCATCTGTTTGAGTCACATTCTGTCGCACTCGTCTTCGTTGTTTGTTATTGTCGCCTGCAGGTGAGATTTGGTTTGAGGATCCAAAGCAGTAATTAAAATGAGCAAAAATGTTGATCGGGGCTGCAAGGTGACTCGGTGGTTAGCATCACCCGGGATCTTCTGTGTGGAGTTTGCATGTTCTCCCCGTGCAGAGTGGGTTCTCTCCAGGTTCTCCGGCTTCCTCCCACACAGTCCAAAAACATGCTGAGGTTAATTGGTGATTCTAAATTGTCCGTAGGTGTGAATGTGAGTGTGCTTGGTTGTCTGTCTCTAAGTGTAGCCCTGTGATAGACTGGTGACCTGTCCACGGTGTCTCCTGCCTTCACCCTAAGTTGGCTGGGATAGACTCCAGCCCCCCATGACCCTAGTGAGGACTAAGTGGTGTATAGATAATGGATGGATGGAAAAATGCTGATCACAAGTATAAATTAGGGTTGCAACATCAGTAACGTTTATTTTAATTGCTGACTAAATGGATTCAGTTTTGAACTGATTAATGAATCGTTTGCTCATCACACCTTCCTAAAGTTCCTCCATAGTCACTGATTAAACCCCTGAAGCTTTTCTCTGTGCATCAAAATTCCATATGTAGACGTTTTTGAAAATAATGGGTCTGCTTTGTTGCTTTCTTGAGAATTTGTCGATTTAGGAAGTCTTTGTCTCTCTCTCTGCTCACCCAACTGCAAGTGGTTGCAGCTCGAGCACACCGGCTCTCCTGCTCACACACTGTAAAACTACTTTACGTCACACAGTGTTAAGTTGTGATATTGGACTAGTTCAGCCGTGGAAACCGATTCTGAAGAATATCGATACAAGAAGCCCCAGCCTCCTGCTAGCTGACGGGTTTGGTTCCATACGTTTGTTAGTCAGCAACAACAAGCAGCAAATCAAACGTAGAAGAAGAGAAAAACAGGTGGAACAACAATGTCATCTCTTATGTAGATGGTGTTGTTTACAAGGATTTTCTGTAAACAAAACACACCCGCAGACTTCAACAGTCTAGGAGAAAAACTGGTTCACCCTGATGATAAAACACCCAAACATAGGCTAAATAATGTTGTATATACAGTCCAACAGGATTTTCACAGACCTACAGTTGCAACCAGACATGTGCGAATCAACCCCAGAACAAAAGCAGAAGACCTTGTGAAGATTCTGGTTGAAGCTGGTCAGAGAGACATTATCCACAGTGGAACCAGTCCTGTACCGACATGGGCTGAAAGGATACTCAGAGAGGAAGTAGTCATTACTCTAAAAGCAACATTAAAAAGCAGATTACAGTTTGTAAATACTGGGACAAAGACCTTCATTTTTGGAGACATGTCCTGGAGACATGGACATGTCATTTTTGAACATGTCCATGTTCAGGACCACAAAGCCAGTGACTGCCATAGAACAGGAAAAGTTTAGTCACATTTAATGTCAGATAGTGGGGTGGGAAGGTTATGTGTCCTTTTATACAGTGCAAACTTCTGGTTTCAGTATAGGGGAGATGAAACAGGGTCTACACTCTACAGCACCACTTCCCAGGTACTTATGATGCACTTTTGACCTGGTAGTTTCACACCTTGAGTTCTGTGAATCTTGTGTCTTTAATGAGTTATTTGCTATGTGATTTAAGGATGACAACATATATCTGGGACCCCACATCTGTCACTTAGAACTCAAGAAGCCTCTTGCTGAGAAGTGAAACTTCCTCAAGAACCTAAAAGAGAAGTTAGTTGCCCTCTACTGAAGCTCTTAGGATTATGTTTGTTATATATGAAACCCTGAAAGACTGAATCCATGTATATGAGTCATCGGTACTCTGTAGTTTCAAGGTGGAAATGCTCAGTCATGCTGTTTACTGCTTTTTCCCCTCATGTCTGTTGGCATATAAAAATACCATATAGACATTTTGACAAGGTAAACAAATAATTTTTTTCCAGAGGAGGTCAGAGGCTGGCTTGTGGTGACTTGGTATTGCTTTGTCAGACCATTTGTCAAAAACCAAAAAGCAAGCAGTTTACAAAGGACTAAATAAAAACATGAGCTTTGGTGATTGGTGGCATTTTCACTTGAAAATAAACAATTTATTGATTATCAGTGGCTGCAGATTATTTTTGTGTCCAGACTATAACCAAGGGATAGCCTACACAAGTTTTTAACAGTTTTTATTCATTTATTATTGTTGTAGTTGTTTATTAAACAGAGATTTTTGTTAAATTACATATAATAACAATAAGTAACATACCAACTGTATAATGCCTACATCAAAAGTTTGTATTTTTACATGACAACTGATTCGTTCACAAAATTTGTCCATAAAATTACACTTTTTTTTGTATTTTAATGAGCCAAAAAAACAGTTATTGTACTGATATTTGTTGTTATTTGAAAGAAAAATTATATTAAAAATCTTTTTAAACAGTTATTTAATAGGTTTTAATACAGATAATACCAAACAACATCACTGCATTATAAGAAGTATTTACATGTAGTAAAATCACTGAAGACTGGTTTTAATATAAATTTTGAGAGGCTAAAACTGTAGAAACAACAACAAAAAAAGTTCTTTTTGTTTTTTCGCAAATGGTAGTTTATCATTTTATAACTTTTGACCATAAAATTACAATATTTTACTGTAATCAAGTCGGGGGGTGTGAGCTCCCTTTTGACAGTTTTTGAATGTTAGACTATTCCACAGTTTCAACATATTTTTAATGCACGCTTGTTTTTACAGTGTAGGTAAAATTTTGAAGTAAAAAGTTATGTATTGCACAGATAATTAAGAAACCAACCTTAAATGGTTAATTAACACAGGTTTTCTGGAGCTTTTGGTTCTATCATCATGTCCAAATTTCCATTTTATACTAAATGAACCTTATTAACTGCAAGCTGAAACAACGATAACCAGGACCAGAGACAAACGATGAAGTAAAAGTTGCAGAAATCAGACCTCAGGTCACATCAGCAGCAGAGATGGAGCTGGAGCTGTGATTGGTGCAGCGGTGGGAACCCAGCTGAGGATGGAGGGAGGGCTTAGCAGGGACATGAAGTGTTAAATTATAGATGTTTATGGATGTTTTGCTCATGTTTTTGTGATTTAATGTGTCTGAACCGGTCCTAAGCTGAAATTCCACGAGTGTTTCACTTTATTTTGATCTCAGGCTTCAAAAGTATGTAAATTTCTACTCAATCACACTTCTTGCTGGAAGAAGAAGAAGAAAACATTACATATACTGTTGCATTCAACTGGCACAAAAATAGTCTATACACAGAGCTGGGGTGATTACTATGCAGCAGCTATGTGCCAAAAAGACAACCTGCATGATGAGAAGTCAGATGGGAGACAGCTGAATACTTTTTTCTTTTTTTTTTTGAAATGCAAAGATGCTCTGACGTCACGCTGTAGAAATATTTTCCTGTCGCTCAGCCCGGTTGCAGCTGACAGTCCGCTCAAGTTGGCGGAGAGCTCGCTGCCCCCCGCTGCCTGCCCGCTGCTGCCTGATGACCATGGAGGCGTCCAGGAGTTTCCAAAGAGGACGTCGCTCCCCAACTCAGTGCGCAGCGGTGGATGCGTTTCCGGCTAACGAAGTGAGGAGATGGCACTCAGAGGGATCGTGTTAACGCGCCTCCGTGCTTGACTACATGAAGTTTTCTCATTTCTTCCTGCTTTCAGCTCGGCCACTGCAAACACAACCAGAGAGGACGAAGCGCAAAATCCATTAGAAAACCATGCACTGTTCATGTCCATGGAGAGATGGCATGCGTGCTCCTCTTCAGTCGACTTCTTCCCTTCTCACACCGGCTCAGAGGGACGTCCGTGTGCTTATTATCCCTTTTCCTTTCATATTTGTGCTACTGTGCTCTCTTCCCTGACAGCGCCGTCATGCCAAAGTCAGGTGATCCGACGCCAAGCTGCGAGCGCGCTGATGGAGCCAAAAGGCTGCTTCAGAGATCCGTCTCCTCCTGCGCCTCGCCGTTGGATGCGAGGACGAGCAGCGTGGAGGCATCTCGGCTGAAAACCGACCAAAGACCTCGTTCCTCTCTGCGCACCGACACGCCCAGCCCTCCCATGAGTAATTTAAAGTTTGGCAATAAAAAGTTGCCCAATGCCATCATTGTTGGTGTGAAGAAAGGAGGCACCAGAGCGGTTCTGGAGTTCATCAGGATCCATCCGGACGTGCGCGCTGCTGGCACCGAGACGCACTTCTTCGACAGGAACTATGACAGAGGCCTGGAGTGGTACAGGTAAGCGCTGATCTCACCTGCACAGGTGCGTGTCCAGCTGTTCCAGGAATCTCATATCATCCGTTTTTAAATAAATGGCACCAGATTACAGTCTAATAAGGGTTTGTGGCACAATATCAGATTGTTGGTTTGGATAAATTACGCGCGTAAATTTAAATACAGTCGTTTTTCAATTCATTTTTTTTTTTAGCAATTAGTTGCCTAAATTGGTCAAATGAAAGCTTTTTTCACTGCTGCTGAACCCTGAATGAACATTTGGGAATGGTCAGCTGTGATGGCATGATGCTGCCTGTGATTACACGGTTTCTCTCCAGATTAAATAAATGATGATGACAGGAAATTATAATAATAGTGATATTTGGCCAATATAATTACCTCATTTATTCCAGTTGGGAGTTCAGTTCATAGCTCTGTCATAATTTCCTAAAAGTGAGGATTGAAATAATTAAAGAATCAGAAAAAAAAGCAGAGATAAATGTGTCATTAATTACTGTAAGTGCTCTCACCACTTTTCACACAACATCAGCTGCTCACTTTCAAAAATTCTGTGTCATACTTCCTCCCTCTCCCTCCCTCCAGTGCTCTTCTGTATGTTTTGAGGTGGGTAAACATGCTGGATGTGTTTTTTTTTTCCCCTGCAGTCTCTTGACTCATTTCAAGTTCTTATTGCAAAGAACTTTGGAGGACTGAGCTCTGTTTACACTGGCAGAACACTGGCCCTCTCGCTCTCTCTTTTTTTTTTGATGTACTGTAGAGCAATTCATCAGATTTCTCATAAAATCCAACCTCTGGAGGCAAACTGTGTAAACTGCAGTGCGCGGAGCTGCCGTGGCTGCCAGCCATCCGAGCTGTAGTCTTGTTTGTTTATTATCATATTTCAAAATGAATCCTAAAGTGAATGATTTATTGATTTCAAAATGCCACACGATGCACGCTTCGCCAAGTGCATCCCCCCCATCCAATTGCTTTGTTTGACTGATCACCAACCTGTACACGAAACATGAAGCGTACACATAATTATTTAAACTCCTTAATTACAGACTTAAAGTTTAAAAAATGTGTCGGTTCGGTTAATGAAAAATCGTGCATGTGTGCATACAAACAGACAGCCAATTACGCACAATCACACGTATCTGCTTCCAAATACATTTCATGTTAATGACTGGCTGTCATGTAGCCGGCAGGAGGGATGTGTATCAGTAGTATTATATAATAATTATGGACTCAAAGTATCTCCACTAATTGGCACTCTTCAGGACGGTTGGCAGCTGAAGCCCTTTTATCTCAGAGATGTGTCTAAGAGATGTGAACCCTCGCCCATTACTGTAGTTTGATTGTCAGCTGTCAGAGCTGCTCAGAAAAGGTCAAGTGAGGATTGCTTTCAAAATAAAACAGTTGCTTCTCCTGTAAACACCCCTCAGTAAAGCCAAAATGACTGCCTGGAAGAGTCTCATTTTGAATATGCAACTGAGTGTGCGTGTTTTGTTTGATTGATAGATCACCTGTTAAACTGAGCCGTAACTAGTTTGATATCTAATTCATTAAAAAAAAAACATAAAAATAAAAATCACAATTCTCTGATTCAAGCTCCTTAAATTTGAATATTTTCCATTTTTCTTCACTCCTCTATGACAGTCAACTGAATATCTCTGGATTGTGGACAAAACAAGACATTTGCCATCTTGGGAGCTGGAAAAAACTGGTCATCATTTTTCACCATTTTCTGATATTTTATTGACCAAATACCTAATCAACAATGAAAAGACTTACGAGTTGCAGCCCTAAACTGAGCAAAAAATAAAGGAGGAGAGATAAAAAATCGCTGAAGTGGACTTAACAAGCGTTAGATGTTGATCCCAAAATCTGAGTAGTGCTAAACGCTTGTGCAAACATAGAAACAGTATCTACAGAATGTGTCCGTTTGGATGGTCCAGTGTTCATTTACAGTTGATTCAACTGAAAGTTTACAGTCAGTCAGTCAAATTTTGTACCGGATACATTAATAGTATAATCATTTAGACATGATGCATTGTCCATTTTGCGTTTTTTTGTCGCTGAATGCATTGTCCACATTTCAAGTTAAAGCTACTGTGTGTAGGATTTTAAAACTTCCCAAACAGTAACTGCTGGCTGGTCGTAGTCACCAGATGTGGACTGCAGGTATAAGCCTGCTATTGGCTGCACATCTCATTTTCTGTTTTCCATCTGCTATCTACATGTTACTGTTTTCAAATAGTGCAGGAAACAACGACCTCCAATCTAGCAAGCTACCACCTGGAAGTTTAAAGTTTTGCCAAAGGTTTGGATCGTGCAGTAAAGTAGCCCAGCTCGTCTTCATTTCTGTGAACTATCCATTTTAACGACAGTACTCGACTCCCTGCACGCAAATGTTCAACCAAAACAATTCCCCCGTCACTGTTTTGCATGATCATCGTCACAGCATCCTATCCGTAGCCTCACCCAAGACGACTGGGATTAGTTTAAGGAAATGCATGCTGGAGCCTTGGAGGTGCAGCAAGACCATTCTGCACGATCAGACGAGATGAGGCCGACACTTAGCAAACAGCTGATTTTGTCTCCAGTTTATGACCTGTGCTTCTTTTACTCTGTTTTATTACAACCATACATAATGTCTCTATACCGCCACCTTCTGACAACAACATGCAATCTGGTTTACTCGTTCCACAGCAGTAAATGGAAACTAGCCTATTTTTTTTTTTGAAAAGATCTTTTATAAATTTGCTTGATACGTTATATGAAAATGCCTGGTGGTGGTATAAATCTAACGCTGGGATACTGAAATGAATCATTTAAATGTAACACCTGAACTGAACCAACCAACAAAATCATACATTGTCAGAATTGCCTGAAGGCTGTAATAATGTGATTGACAAGAAATGAATCAGCAGCTACATCAATAGTGAATTATTACTAGTAAGTGTTTTTAAGTACAGTTTCTCTTTGAAGCTTTTTAAATGAAAATTTGTCCCTTTTCCTTGTAAAGACTGATAAATGGAAAAATGTAGTTGAGGACTTAGACAACAATCAGCAGATTATTCAGCTATGAAAATAATTAATAATTGCAGCCCTGTTAAAGGCTCTTTCTGAACTCTGAAGATTGATTGGAAACCATTAAAGACCAGGACCAAACTTCTACTACCTGTTCAAATCACTTCTCTCACAGTGGCCTAGTTTGAGGACCCAGAAGTAACCTAACAGAGTCACTCTGCTATATGCGTTCTGTTTGCATTCATAGTGATTTATTACTCTTGAACCATGCTGGGCTGATGCACAGGAAAGCTGTCTGCGAGACAAGTCTCCAGTGACAACAGACTACTATGACTTTGCTTCAGTGCTGCTATTATCATTTACATCGAGAAACTGGGTTCATGGCCGAGCTGCAGCTCAGTTAAGGTGTTTTTATGCCTTTGCAATTCACTTGTGTAATGCTGCCCTAAATAGACGTTGAATATACACTTTTTTACTTTTGACAGAGTGAATCCAAGGACATTATGTCCTCTATATCTGAATCTGTTAACCTCCAAACAGCAAGAAAATGTCATTAAAAAACACTTGAATTACTGTGTATGTAAATAAGAAGCCTTGGTCTTACAGGAGCTTTTACTGTGTTTCCATCTTTCATTCAGAGGTCTAATGCCAAGGACTCTTGAAAGCCAAATCACAATGGAGAAGACTCCGAGCTACTTTGTGACAAAAGAGACGCCGCACCGGATCTCTGCCATGTCCCAAGATACCAAGCTCATCGTGGTGGTGCGGGACCCCGTCACTCGAGCCATATCAGATTACACCCAGACGTTGTCCAAAACCCCCGACCTGCCCAGCTTCCAGGATCTGGCCTTCAGAAACCAGAGCCTGGGCATTGTGGACATGTCCTGGAACGCCATTCGGATCGGCCTGTACGCTTTGCACCTTGAAAACTGGCTCCGCTACTTCCCGCTGGCTCAGATCCACTTTGTGAGCGGGGAGCGACTTATCACGGACCCAGCGGGGGAGCTGGCTCGGGTGCAGGACTTTCTCGGGTTGAAACGCATTGTCACCGACAAACACTTTTATTTCAACCGCACCAAGGGCTTCCCTTGCCTTAAAAAACCAGAGAGCAGCGGTTCGCCTCGCTGCCTTGGCAAGTCCAAGGGCAGAACTCACGTGCAGATAGACAGGGACGCCATCGAGCAACTGCGGGACTTCTATCGACCGTACAACGTCAAGTTCTATGAAATGGTGGGACATGATTTTAAGTGGGAGTAGAGGTTTGAGACTTTATTTTTACATGGCACAGGAGAGATTTATTTATTCCACAAATGTTCTTTGAAAAGTGTTTTGCCTTCAGTAATACGTCGCGGCTAAAGCGAATAAGTAACTATCAGCAGTCTCCAGACAATTTTCGAGGGAAACAGCAGATGCAGTGTTATTCTTTGAAGTGACTCTAATGAACGGAGCCAGATCTGAGATGACATTGCTTTTGCACTTGTAATGATCACTTACCAGCATCAGCACCCTGTTTCTCGCTAGATACGGCCGTCATTCAGCTTCTCCATCACGTGGTTTTCCGTTTGTGTTACTGTACGTTTGCTGCTGACTGGATTGCTGACTGCTTCACAAAAAAAAAAAAAGAGGAAATTCCAGGGAATGGGATTAGTTCTTCTTAAAAAACTGCTTCACTAATCAAGGCAGGGTTTGAAAGCAAGACCTTGGAAAATGTCAGTGAAGTCTTCAGGGAGAGCAGAATTAAGCTGCAGCACTGTGGTGGTAAATCCAAAATGTAAAGCCATGAGGCAAGTATGAAGTATAAGTACTTATGGTTCAGTTTTTAGAGTGAAAGATATTTATTTTTTTCCTCCGTTTTTGCCAGCATGTATCAGATGAGTTAGAAAACGCTGGAGAACGCAGCGCCTCACTTTGGATCACTTTGTATTCTGCTCTTTGTTTGCTAAAATCCATGTTTATATTTTTGGTATTTAATCACTGCTTTAACCACAATGCTTGTCCATGAACTTCATTAAATGAAACCGAAGCACAATTAATGAAACTGTCTCATCTAAAGCTTTGACCTTGATAAAACCGAACACAAAAAGATTCATCCCCACTCTCTGCTTTTACTTGATGTTTAGAAAAAAACCACACACCAGATTTCACATCACTGAATGATCTGAACCTCTTCAGAAAACGGTTGGATCTGCAAATTATCTCCCTCGTTTTTTGTTTTTTTTTTCACATCTAGTTTGCACGATTATGGTTCAGACCGCCATCCTTTGAGGTTTATTGCATTCTGTAAGGTTTGTTGTGTGCCTCGGTGGTGGTGTAGGCGCATGAGTGGGTGTAGGCGTAAGGAATTTCAATCACTTTTCAAAGACAAAGCAGGGAACACCTAGTCGTGGCGGGTTATCAAATAGATTCCGGGACTGCGTTCCACGAGATTGCAGCGAAAAGTTTGGATTTGGCTACATGGTGTGAATACAAAAAGCCAGACTGTCTGAGTTTGAGCCAGATTGATGCTGCAGAAACAAAGGAAGAAACACTACGTGATACATGAACGGGCAGAGTGAAGCAGTGTGTGGTGTACAGTTGGCTGCTTACGTTCTCTATCCCACGGCGTCATATTATAGGCAATGCTTTATGTTACGATTTAAACATATGCTTTAAATTAAAGTGTAATTATTTAGTGCACAGTGCTGCAGCGTCTGTATGTCAGTACGAGAGAAGAAGACCAGAGGGAATAACTTTTTACTTATTAACAGAAAACAAGGCTGGGAAAGACAGCCAAAAATAGGATAACACTATTTCAGCATTAGATTATAAATGTTTTAAAGATTATAAAATAGTTAGTTTGGGGGGTTACAGTCAGGAAGTCTGTACAGTACATACAGACTGATGGGTTTCATTTACATTAGTGATGCACGATATAAACATTTCTGACATTAAGATTTCTGATATTACCGATGCCGATATTCAATTTTTGTTCGAAAAATGAGTATAAGTTATGGTGGCCGACGGGGGCAAATGACGTGCATGTACACAAACGAGCTGCATATACATGAATGCGTTGCATAAACAGAAATGCGCTGCAAAAAGAAAACGCTGCATATCCACTCACACAACAGAAGTGCCCCAGGCCTCTAGGGGCAGTAGTGAGCTTTTCACCTGAGAGACAGACAACGGTGAGCGAGACAAGTAATGTTATTTAAGGGAAAAGCCAAACCAGTCTCACAGCAATTCCTGAAATCGTCACAAAACATATTATTATTGTTATTATTATTATTATTATGGACACTAACAGGGTTGCCTTAGCAACGAGCGCAAATTTCCCCCAAACACTGCTGGTGTAATAAAAACACAAAAAATGCCATAATACGATGCACTGTTTTACACTTTATACTTGCTATGATCACAGTACATCTTCCGGTTGCCGTTTTCCTGCATGTGTCCGTCTTTTCAAACTACACTAACGCAGGTCAGTATGGGCGCACACATCTGCATAGTGATCTCTAGTTATTACTGTGGACAGGCCATAACAGGAAAACTGGTTAATGCCTGACTGTTGGAAGAAAAGAAAGACAAAACATCACAGTATATGTGCTGTCTGATGGGGGAAAAATGTGTCCCAGAAAAGAAAGATCATTCCAATTGAAATGTATTGGTGTGAAATTTGTGCTGGGGAACACAAAAAAGTTGGGCAAATCGTGTCTCAGGACACCAAACAACAACAACAATAATAATTATAATAATAATAATTATTATTATTATAATAACAACATTATGTTTCGAAACTATTTCATGAACTGCCATGAGACTGGTTTGGCTTTTCCCTCAACTAATGTAACTTGTCTCGCTCACCGTTGTCTGCCTCTCAGATGAAAAGCTCACTACTGCCCCTAGAGGCCTGGGGCACTTCCATTGTGGGGCACCTCCATCGTGTGAGTGGATGTGTGTTTTCTTTTTGCAGCACGTTTGTTTTTGTGCAATGCATTCATGTATAAGCAGCTCGTTTGTGTATATGCACGTCATTTGCCCCGTCGGCCACCGTAAGAAGTGAGCACTGTGAGAAAACTGTTCAAAAGCAGCCCGTACCAAATTAGACCACATCGTGTTCTTTATTACCTAACAAAAGTAAAACATGTTTAACATACTTTAACATATTTAACATTCAAGTCCAAGACTATTTAAGTAAAAGCATCTCTGAAATAGCAGCAATATCAAGCGTAGAGACGAAGGCGCGGATGTTAGACAATCATCAGTTTTTCACATCGGCTAAAGTTGTTCATCGGACTGATACCGATATATCGGGGGGAAAAACACTAATATCAGCCGATATATCGTGCATCCGTAATTTACATTCTTATAAATGTAACAGGAAACTGTGGCTGAGGATGTTTATATGTCATCATTTAACCCTCATCCTACTGACTCGTTACCCACAAACCCCAGAGGTTCACTTTTTGTCTTATTTCACGTCATTTTCAGGATTTTTTGTGCATTTTGTTCCTAATTACTTCATATTATTGTTTCCTGTGAAAAGCTTCCAGTTCTATCAATACAGTTTAAATAAAACAAACTATTTGTTGAGTTTAAAGTTTGTCCATGTGCTCTGACAACATAACAAACATTGCTCCAGTATAGTGACAGCTTTCATGATAAACGTTGTTCCACTATCAGAATAAGCATTTAAGTTCTATGTGTACTGGAAGGCTAAAACGTTGTGTCATGCATATGACTGACATGGTGGGAATGTGGGGGAAAAGAGTACAAATCTAAGCTTTGTTGAGGCTGCAGAAGGACGAGAAATATTTGATACGGTTTGCGGAGCTCCACAATGAAATCTGGAATTTATCTCGATTATATAGTTTTGAATGACGTGGAATTTTTAGGAGAACAATGGCACAGAAGATCATTGTGTTGCCCAAATTTTGAGACATACTAATAACAATATAATCACTTTTTTGTTTTGAACACTTAAGCTTTCAAAGTGCTTTGACAGACAAAACCAAAGCAGGAAACCCAAAAGGCAGAAAAATCAAAAGAAGAGATAGCGAAGCCAAACAAAGCGAAGCAAAATGAAGTTGAAATTAAGATAAAGTGAAAAGACAAAATACAAAACAGTAATAAATACAAATAAAACAATAAAAAGCAATAACATCCTTAAAACGCAATAAAAAAAAAAGAAAAAAGAAAAAAAGAAGGCCATCTCATAAAAGCAAGTCAGTAAAAATTGGATTTTCAGAAGTGATTTAAAAGACTCTGGGAGTCTTATCTCCTCGGGCAGGTCGCTGCAGAGCGGAGGGCGCCTGATGGCAGGAGCACGGTCGCTGTTAAATTTAAGCCTCGACCTTGGAACAGTTCAAAGGGCTTCACCTGAGGATCTGAGGCTGGATCATATTAGGTCAACACTCCTGCTAGAATGTAGCTCAGGGCCACATCCAGCCGGGCTCTAAAAGTGATCAGTGAAATCTTCAAGTCAGAATGAGCAGGGAGCCGATGGAGATGTGATGCTGTCTGCTAAAACTAGTATAAATATAACAAGAAATCATTTCAGTTGAGAGCAAAACCACAATCAGAGGATGGTGTATAAGCTACTAATAGGTACTAATGCTGACATAATATGCAAATTATCTGAAACTTAAAGAAAAAGGATCATTTTTACACATCTCATAATGAATGAGTGAACTTTTGCTGTGATGTTTTTTCTCATAGGAGTCTGTTTTATGTTAAATATGTCGGTAAGATGAGGGTTAATATCACACGTGACGCACGTCGGATCACTGAACTCTGAAAAACCTGTTTTCTTAGCTAATAATACTCATTAATAACAGTTTTGCTCGCAGCAAAATATAGACCACGCCGCTCCTCTGTGTTACCTCAGAAGCCGAGCACTTTTATCTGTTTGAATACCGAAGCCTCTCGTGAAATTTGCATGTAGCTGTGTATCCTTTGAAGCGTTTCCTGCTGTTTGACATGAGAAAATCCAGAAAGTCGAGCTCAGGAAACCTGTTCTCATCTCTCTCTCCTCTGTATGTTCCGTCATTCTGCTGCAAATGGTCACAGCGCATTGTTAAGAAGAAAAGAATCATGAAAGATACTCTCCTCTCCGTGACCCTCTCTCAACACAAGGCGTCTGCCTCTTGCTTCGTTCTCTCTCCTCGCAGCTTCCCTTTGGCTCTCTCTCCGTCCTAACATTCATTAAACTCATACGACCTCCGCGGTGGGGTGGAGTGGGTGGTGAGAGCAGGCCTGCACCACCCCCGATGCCCCCT